GAAATGCTTGTTGGTACTTTCTAGCGTCACCTATAGAATGGCACTATTGTGACTAGAAAGAATGCAAATATGTATATGAAGGATCTGCAAGCGCACAGATAATTTACCATTATAGCATTTCACCCGGGAGTATTCTAGGTATCATTATTTATATTTTTTCACAGGGAAGGACTGGCGGATGGAATATATTGATAACTTATACATATGATGGAGAGATAAACCATAATCATTACTCTACTCACAATAGGGTTAAGTCTAGAGATAAATATATATGAATGGTAAATAATAAATGATATTGATCACTCATGGTACTCCTTTCTACGGCATTAGCATGACTAAGTAGATATTAGAGAAATAATTCCTAAATCATTCTTAATTACAAGTCAAAGCATACTATGATTAGTGCAATTATACTTAATAGTCATGGCTAAGATCAACTCCATATCTACACATAAGGGATATTACTAAGGAAGATCAAGAACAAATCATGACTTCCTTCATAACTGGATCCTACTTGACCTATATTTGGGGAGTGGACTACAACGGACTCAACGGGAGTGTCACATCCGTGATCTACCACATGGCCCAGAATATAGGGTGCATCCGTAGGTAAACAACGTAAAGCACCACGCTTATACAATGTCGACCACTCACCCCATGTACTTTAGAGCGAGCGCTATACGAACTTATGCTTGAACATAAAGACAGTCTAGCTATACTAAGCATATAATCAAAGTAGACGATGAACATGATAACTAGGAACATGAATAATATTGAGAATAATGTCATATCAATTGTAGCAAACATATGAATAATGAAAGATACAAAAGAGGATACAAGGGGGCTATACCAAGCCACGCTCATTACAAGATCAGGAATCCAAGCGAAGCTTGCCTCCCTTTAGCTCTAACCTAGCTAGCTATGCCCAATAATATTATGGAGCTTTGAGGTTCTTCTTTGATTAGGGTTTCTAGATGATGACTTGATCAATGATCAGGGTTATGCTAGGGGGTGGTAGGGGCAGGTATATATAGAGGAGATCATCAATCGTAAGCCCTCGGATCAAACTGACTTTAAAAACAGCATAGATGCAAACCCTAAGGCAGTGGAGAAATGACTTCACGGGGAGGGGCTGCCATGTGGGCCTAGGGGGCCGGCTGGCCTCTAGGTGGGGCCTGCCTCTCGTGGTATTCTTCGGTGGTTTGCCTTCTAGTGTCCTCTAGAACCTCCAGGAGTTGTTTACGTCATGGATAACTGTGATTAAATCTAACATTTGGGTCCACCTTGATGTTTTTTTGGATAAATCCTACTGAAAACATAGATTCACCAAAACTTATGGAATTTGTTAGTTTAAACCCCTAAACCTATGTTGGTGATCATTTTCATGCCCTTATTCAAGTTATATTGACTGTTTATGATGGGTGTTAACTACCGTCAACAAGTGTGGAGCTTGTTCTTCTTCTGGGTGAAGCATTTGTCATTGTCCCATAGGGACTCATCCTTGTTGCACTGGTAGCTTGCGAGTTCCCATATGGAGCCAGGCTTGGTATATGCGCCTACAAAGTGGTTGATCAAGAGCCTCTCGAGGTCAGACCAGTCTCGAATGTTGCCCTTATCAAGGTGTTCGAGCCATGATCTAGCTGACTTGGTGATGTATATGGAGATATATTATGCCACGGGCCAGTTCTTCATGTTCGAGTTCTCATTGTATCTCGGGAAGCTATGCGGTGCCCAAAAGGTCAATAGCATCGAGGTTCACCATATTTCCTTCCCAAAGGCGCTCAGCTTGATCCGTGCAAGCAAGTGACCCCGCTTGTAGGAGTCCTAGACCAGTAGCTCTCAGGGGTTTGCTTTTTTTGGTTTCTCGGGTTTTGTTCACCATTGGATAAGTGCTCGTGCTCATCTTGCCGATGTTGGTCCTGAGGTGGCATGCGGTTGCCACCCTTGTTCTTCAACTTCTCTCTCCACTGGGTATTCATAATCGTGATCCTCATTTGTACATCATCATGCTTTGATGGTGTCATGAGCATCTCTATTCTTGCTCATACGATGGTGGACAGAGCGCCATGGTGGGTCCTTAGGTCATGATCACCTCCTCTTTCCTTGGAGTGGTCTAGAGCCCCTGTATTCCATTGAGGCAACGACTGATGAGTCTGAGATGCACTTGCACATGAGTGGCTCTGCTCGAGTAGCTATGCCACCATGATTTTGATAAGGGATTGGACCCTAGGGAGCATGTGTCGCCCCTCATTATATGAGGTCTTTGGCATGTTGTCGATCACTGCATCGCTGCTACTAGATTTTGAGTAGCCTTCAGGTGCACCTAGACATCATTGCCTTCTTGCAGTATCGCATTATCGACACATGGCCTCAATATCGGAGTTGCGCTTCAAGGGCATGGTACCATCAGCAAAGGTTGGTGTTCTTGGTGGCCAACATGTCGATGTTGCCAAGAAGTTATGTGCACACCTGCTCATTGGTCTCAAGGCATTGATTGTTCATTGGCATATCCTCTCCTAGAGGAGTCCAAGTGGTGATCGATCGGTGACATTGTCCTCTACCAAGTGTTCCGGGTGCCAACCGTCTTGAGTGTTGGCCATGTAGCACTCCCTTTGGGGGAGAGGTCATCCTAAACCTCATCATCATCGTAGTTCTCCTAGATGGTGGCCGAATCATAAGCATGGAGCTTGGCATCCGACATGTTAACGATGTCAGTGTTGATACTCATGTCATTTTTGAGACTGTGGACTATTGCCATTGCGACAAATCTATTGGGATCATTATCACCATGTCCTCTATCCTCGGCCTCATTGTTGAGGATACTAGGGTCAAAGGCAGCCATCATAGCCTAGTGAAGTACATGTTGATATGCCATTGCCAAATTCCTAAGGCCGATAGGAAAATTGGTCAAGATGCAACATGGCAATAGTTCTAGATCTATCCTAGGGACCCATTGTAGATCTAGCAGGGGTTCGATAACCTTGTCAAAGATGAATCCCTAGCTAAAGTCATTGAAGACCTCTTGAGTATAGAGGTCCATGTGGTGTGCTAGTGTTGGTGCACTAGCCACTATGGCGTCCTTGAGCCCAATGAGGAACATGTGAATAGAGGGGAGGCTCCTCCTCCTACATGGTGGGTTTGGGTTCCTATATAGGTGCAGGTTGCCAAGTTAGTCAGCGATGAAGTCTAGGCTACCAAAGGTGATCTTAGGGCATAGGTGAAGCTTCTCACTATTGTCAAAGTGGACAAAGATCCCCATTTGAAACATCAAAAATTTGTGCACCAAAGGCCCCTACTTGGCTTGCCAACTATTATAGGAATTGGCTCTAGCAATATGGGTAAGCGTACCAGGCATAGGGAATCAAAAGGGTGGGACATAGGACACACATGTATACTGGTTTAGGTACTAGAGTACCCTATGTCTAGTTGAGAACAGATCTCTCTATCTCATATTAGATGTTTACAGGGGCGCTAATGACTAGTTTCCTACGGGTTGCTATGCAATGTAGCTAAATACCGATCGGGGGCTCCCTACCCTGCCTTATATAGTCCAAAGGGTACAGTTATAGTTTGAGTCCCCATCGATTTACATAGAAGCTTCCTAGTTTATTGCAAGGAAAACTAGGTCAAAATCAGCTTTTCCTTATTTGAAATAGTTTCCAAGCTCCATACACCTGGTTTCTTGTCCACTACATCTAATAATGTGCTCTGGTTTGGTTAGGACTCATCTTCACTAGCTTCAGCCAACCTAGTTGTAATGGGTTGTTCTTCGGGCGGTGAGGTACCCTGGGTCCATATCACTGACATGATGGTTCTAGATGTTTTTGTTTACCATAAGTATTCCAAATCTCATGGTTGGTTTGGTACAAGTCTAGCAGCTAAAACTGCTAGTGTTGAGGTCATAGATCGACTTTGAAACTACAAGTGTTGAGCTCATTATCATCAAGATTAATCATAGCCCAAAACCATCAATGGAACCATCTAATCAAAAAGGATCTAGGCTGACCAAGGCGCTTGGGTGGATAGTTGCTCCCCTTTCTATGAATTTTCTTGTCTTAGGTGCCTAAGGTTTTGGAGAGAAGATTAGGATAAGGAACCTATAGTCGACACTATAATAGTAGTTTGGTCCCTACTAGAGTCAACTTGGAGTCATAGGAACTACATAGGAACCTAACCCCATCTTCTTGTCTTCCTGACTAACTAGACTGCTTTGTTTTCATTGACTCTGCATTTATCCTGTGTGTGCCTGTATCATTTGTCATAACTCCTATCATATCACTTACCCCCGCTTTAGTTTAGCTGGTACATTAATTAATAGATACATCCTTGTTAGGTATCAATATTCCTTATCTATTGCATTCCTAAGGATAAATATGATACATTGAAATAATCTTAAGTAATAGCTACAATGATATCCGTGTGCTTATGGATTATATGTGTAAGTCTTATGAATTGCCAACAATAGCCAAAATGATATGAAATGCATGACAAGAAACATTTTGATCACATTTAGCTTCTCGTAGTTGAGTACTTCATCACATTCACTTCTACGCGCACACTTAACTTAAAAATAACACTTAGATTCATAAACTAATACCATTCGACCTACGATGGAACGTGACTAAAACAACCAAATTATCTTAATTACAAAACTCCTTTTGTTAAGGGAAACATTCTATTTATCAAGTAAAAAACAATGAAAGTATATAATTATACTAGAAAATGGTACTTGAACGTAAACAATAATTATTGGTTTCTAACTTTGTTCGGTATAACTATTGCCTACAATGAATTTATACGATTTTTAGAATCATATAGAGATGCCATCCATATCTTCTGTGATGAGATATACCTAAATTAAATGAGATATTAATATATCCCTAGCAATCATCGACTACTCATCCTATAAAGCACCCACATACCCCTTGGCTACTTCACACTACAGTGATACATCTAGCTAGAGTAATATTACTATCAATTCTTTGAATTCTTTGCAAGCCATGGCAACAGGGACTGAAAATGGTGGCTCAAACCCAAGGAAGATGACATTCTTTCTTCAACCCTTGCCTTATAAGTGCTACTTGTGCCCCAAGAGCTTCAAGAACACCCAAGGTCGTGGTGGACATATGGCAAAGTGTCATAGTAATCTCATGGAGATGAGGAGGAAAAATGAGGAACATGTGAATAAAAAGCGCAAGAGTTTGATCATGGAGATGCTACCACCAAACAAGGCATATTGGATGAGATACCATAATGGCAAGGTGAGACTGTATGAGTTTGACTTCAGATCAGTGAAAGAAAATTCTACTTCACCTAGAGAAGTTGAATCAAGTGAATGTTTATCATTACATCAAAGCATGAATGACAAGAAAGTGGACCTTACCTTGAAGCTTTGATGTTTTACCTTACTACCTAGGAGGTGCTGAAGGCCTCCCAGCAATAAAACCTGGTGCCAGATCGAGGAAGTCACAAGTAGCAGATGACAGACGGGCTCTAGCTATGTCATTTTTATGCTTGATTTCATTTTGTAATCACTTTTTAGATTTGTCAAAGTTTTCTTCATATGAATAAAGTTCAGCTTCCTAAAAATCTCAAAGAGCACCACTCTAAGCCGCTCGGCGGCTAGATTCCCATTCATTTTCTATATAATAGTTCTCCCATGACTCCTTAAGTGCCTCGATAAGTTATACTAACCTATCAAGACGCTCGGGAGCTACAATTACTTACTACTACTTGTGTTCTCTCAAGTCTGAAAATGAGTTATGGCATAAATGAACAAGCGAATCCCTAGGCTTATCTCGCCAAAACACCCTAGAGGTTGTGGCTAGATCCTCAAGCAGATAGACCTAAACTCAACCAAAATCAGATGCTAAGACAAAGAAAAGAAAAGTAAAGCTAAGTATCATATGGCTTCATAATTAAGAAACAATGTTTATGCATTCCCTAGGTCATTATCAACGACCTACATGCTATCTTGCCTGTCTGATTTGTTGGGCATACTATCTCAAATCACGATGGTAGGGTCCATCTTGGCGATCAAGCCTTTGATATGTTCTGTAGCTCTATGGCAAAGGTCCTCTAACACAGCGAGCTCGATGTTGGAAGGCATGCCCATAACAGACCCAATGTCCAGATAGGGATGCAATGCCCCAGCTGCCACCAGTGCAATCTAAGCCCCCGACAATAGGCCTTGCTGGGCGATCTCTGCTAGCCGAAAAGGAACACCGGTCAGTTGGGAAGCTACCTCTGTTATAGGACTAAGCACTTCGGTTAGAAGATATGTGGCCTGGTAGACTAGATGCCCACCATAATAACGCCCTGCAGCTCAGTGTTCTCACCCTCCAAGGCCAACAATCGAGTCGCAAACCTCAACTCCATAACCACCATGATGGACGCGCTCTGCATCGGCGACGACAATCTCCAAGATCACATCGGCCAACTTGGCTTGCTAAAGGGCCTCCCGAAGATGTTCTCTCTTGATTGTGTCAGCTGCCAAACCACATGATGTTGATCAAAAGCCCTGAATCGAGATTATGCAAACTACGACAGCAAGAAGATGGCAACCTTGCACTAGCATTGCTACTTTGCATGCTTTCACCTTTCCTCTCCTTTTGGTCGATAGCTCCCTGCACTGTTTTTTTTCCTCCTCACCATGGCATCTACCGCAGCAACAGGTGTCGACGCCCCTCTCCTGATTCGACGATAAGAAGCAGTAGGCAGTTGGTACTTCTTATGTCTATTGGATAATTCCGCAAGCGCACAGAATATACCATTGTAGCATGTTGGTGTTTATTAAGTGTAAATAGAATATGAAGAATTTAGCAAGCACACAGAATACCATTGTAGCATTTTACTGGGAGTATTCCAGGTATCGTTATTTATATTTTACCATAGGGAAACAATGGAGTAAAGACTTACTGAGTAATAAAGGAATATCTACCAATGAACATACCAGCATAGCTAAAGTAGGGGTGAATGTAATGATAGGAATAAAGCATAATGACACTCAGGGAATAGATCACTAAGATAATGTAAACTAATCAACTCGAGAGAACAACAGGTGAGGTAGATTCCTATGATATTTCTATTACATGGTCAAAGTATATATACATCCAACTATAGCTAAGACTAACTCTACTCGTGTGCACTTCGGGATGCCGCTTAGATGGTAGAGCACCCACAATAGATAACTCTACTAACGTGACTATGGTCCTACAATTTAAGAACCTGCTCAATTCGTAGTGGGCTACAAAGGATAGATAGGGCTGTCACCTCCCGCTGCTACCACCCAACCAGAGAATAGGGTGCACTCACAGGCAAAGCATCAAGCACCATGCTTACATGAGACTCGGCTACTTAGCCTAACCGGTAAACTAGCAGGCTATGCGCTCTATGAACCCGTACACAAAAGTAATGATAACCATAATTAAGCAAGATATATATTCAAAGTAAGCATAGTCATGTAGATAATAATATGATAAATTGATAATAAGTCTTACAAGATGTAGAAGTGAAGATATAAGGCTTTACCTAGCCTCCAAGACTAGATCCGAAACTTGAGCATGAGCCCAACTCGACCCTCACTCCCGAGCTACTAATCTACTACATTGGAGAGCTCTAGATCTAATCCTCCTGGTGTGTGTTGATCAGAATGAGACATATGAATTAGGGTTTTCAAGATGATCACAGGGAGGGGGGTAGGGGCTACTGTATATAGGCCAGAGCATCAATTCTGGACCCTCGAATCAAACCGACTTGAAAGGATGGCAGAGATGCAATCTAGGATGGTAGGTTATGTTGATGGTTTATAGTTGGTGTTAGTGAGCGTCAACAAGCTCCCCCAAGCTTAACCTTTGCCAGTCCTTGAGCAAAGCTAAACTCAGCAATGGATCAGGAGTTACTACTATGCTTTCACGCCTCAAAATTACACATGCATTGAATCATAAATTATCCTCCGGATTAGAACAAACTGTTCTGACTTTCAAACTTACCCATATTACATTCAACCATGGGGCTTCTTAGCCTTTACTTGGGTCTTGAGCAATTGAAAAACAGAATAATCAAGTCAAGCACTATGTCTCAAGTTCTTTGTTCCACCATTGTTCTAGTGTTTTTATAAGTTTTCAAAATAAAACTCAAAGATTCCATTGTATGACACTCTCAAGTCTCTCAATATATGTGGTATTTGTGGATCCTTACCAAGGCAATAAAGATGTTATGCCTTTTCTCTTCCTACTACTAAAGCTTATGTGGAGTTCTTGAGTAGGGAGAAAGCTACAGCATACTTGCAATGCATATATTGTAAAGTCAAACAATGGATCCATAGAGAGTTGAGTCATACAATCAAATCAAGATATGCATGTGTGTGGATGTATGGTGGATATATATATGGTGGCTAACACAATTCTACTTTGCTCCTTAAAAACATCTCTCTTTTGAAACTTAGAAACATTTGCTAGAGAACAGGGGCTATCTTATTCATCTCTCTTTCTCTTTTTTTAGGCGGGCATCTAAGTACCCATTGTTTTCAATATCTCAAACACTTTTGTGTCCATTTTTTCTCAACTCCTTTTTTATGAATAACTTTTGCATAGCCCCATGCCTTTTTTCTGTAATAGAACTTTGAGAGTGTTTACACCAAAATTTGGAAGAAGAATCATAGGGACTCGAAAGCTCCCAATATCATGTCATCAAGGAATCAATTGCGTGCAGCTAATTTTAATGCAACACTAGAATCGGCTTTCTTCAAATAGCGCCAGCAGATAACGACAAAGGCTACGATCGGTGCCGGGACAAGGCATGTTGGACTCTACAAAAAGAAAAAGATTAGAGTCCAAGTTATCTTAATTTTGGAATGTTTTCTCTAGGGCCAAAATTGTGATGAGTCGTGCTTAGATAGGAATCATGCATAGGTTTTGGGTATAAATATCAAACCCTGGCTATTGTAAAGGACACACAATCAATCAAATACATGTTACTTACCTTTTTGGCTCTGGCCACCACTTAGGAGTAGGAATAGAGTAGATCTCGACGAGTTCTTCAGCAAGTACGGCTGCATCGATCCGGTCGACCTCCACTGCTTGTCTATAAGTACCGTCATGGCTTATACTTCTGTTCGTACGGCTGCATCGATCTGGTCGACCTCCACTGCGACTCTGGTATAAACTAGTTATCGACTCTTGTCTAGTTCAAGTACGGCTGCATCGATCCGGTCGACCTCCACTGCTTGAACTAGATTAAGGTCAAGTTATCGGTTCTATCTAAGGGTGGCGTTCCTTCGGATAGATTCATTAAGTTACCGATATTGCTTATTACTTCCATTATTTATTTAATTACAGCAATATCACTTCACCCAATTGGGACTGATCTAGATCGACCTTATATCTTTTTTAACTCAATGTTTGTTAATCTAAATTTGATCTAATCTATACTTTAAACGATGAGTTATGTTTTATCGGCTGTTTTATGTCAATCTTGATCGTGCATAGTGTGCGGTTAAGGCATGTCTGATCTTGAGTAGATCTATCGGCTAGTGAAAACCGTTCCATGGTCCGTTATCACGGCCTATGTGATTCTGCCTAACACCCCATTATTAGCACCATGGAGTGGGGATCGTTATTTGGTAGATCTATTCCTGATAGGGCATGACCTTAACTGTGCGGTATGCCTGAATCGGCTGTTTTAGCCAATATCGAGTGCTTTCACGAATAGTTCACGTCACAAGACCATTGAAGCAAAGATAGGTTGAAAGATGTGTTAGCACCATGATCTTATTATTGTATTATGGCCTGCATGATTCTGCCTCATGCCCCACTGATATTTGTAATAAGTTAGGGTCATCGAATCTATTGTTGTTTCTACGGCCTGCATGATTCTGCCTCATGCCCCACTGGTCATAGCGATAGATGAGATCTAATATGTTCATTAGATTTATCTTTATTAAATGGTTAAATGACGATGAGCTATTTCATTTATACAAAAGGGATTCGGTTACTTGCAGTCATTGGCTTAGCATAAACTAATCATTGCTGACATCCTCTTACCATTGACTAATGTTTGTCTAAATAACAAGATCTATCCTAAACGATAACCGATTTACCTTCCATGAGCTATAATTGATTTATCTTTATGAGTATGCTGGAATTGACTATTTATTCGATTTCCTTCCATATCGGCTCTCAGAGCCGCACATTCGGGACCATCTGGCAACACCGGCATGTTCTGCCTTAAATTACTGATTAGCTTTCTCTCCTTGTCAATTGCAGGGTCAAATTGACTGGCATGTCTCGGGGGGAGTGCGCAGGATCGACCATCCCAATGCTGAAGCTAGGCGGATCTCCAGCTCCTTCGAGCGGACCCTTCTGGCTTGCTCGTGTGCCCTCGGCATGGGATGAAA